CCATGTATGACATACCTGCAAACGTGTCGTCGTCCTCTCAGCCATCGCTCTAGCGACCTCTCGAGCAACCGCATCAAACTGGTGCGGCTACAAAGTTTCCAGCACGCCAGCACTCTGTAGCACCGGCTTCCATCGATGCGTTTGCTCAGCGTGCCTAGGATTTTGGACAACAACACGGACCTCGCAACCATCTTTGCTGCTGGGTCGGCGCCGCGCCCCTTCTTGCGACTGTACGTACATTTCCTCCAATATTGCAAGGACGCGAGGCTTCCGCTGTGTGTAGCCAATGCAATGGCTGCAATCTGACGACGGTAGCGGTCGACGATGCCGCCTTTCTGTCGCTTCGCGACGCGGCTCTGCCACCGACAGCAAGCTGGCGTCCATGCCCGGCGTCCATGCGCGCAAGAAAAGTTGGCCACACGCATGTCTGCGTCGGCGCCTTGGACACTAACGCGTTTGTCCCTGCGTGCCCCTTTGTAGACATGGTCGCGGGCTCGGCCCTCACATCGGCGCACTGCACAACGCTTGACGCGCTCTACTGCGTCGTCGACCGCTTCTGCCACGAAGCCGAGCCCTTTCTACGCACCCGCGACATCCTCCTCGACTTTCATTACGTCGACGACCCGATGTCGACGACCAAGTTTCAGCGGCGCCAGCTACAAGTCGTCACCCTCCCGAACGTCGACACTCTGTACGCGCTGGGAATCCATGTGGTTGCTTGGACGAGAGTTTATACTGCTAATAGGACGATCCGGAATGCGCTCGACGTGCGCTTTCTCGGCGATGCGGACGCCCGCTTGCGTTCCTTGTGCGCCTCGCTCGCGAGCTCGTCGTATGTGACTCACGGGATATACTCGTAGGCGACTCGAAGGACTCGCGTCGTGGCATTTGGTCGACCCCAAGACGTCCGTGCTGCCGCAGACCTTGGAGACCTTGTGGGACCGAGTTGGCTTCGTCTTGTCGGCTGACCAACCTCTGTAGTGTGTGTGTGGCTTGCGGCTGGAAGGTGCTGCCGACGTCGTATGCGTGGCCGGATGCGCTTCAGCACTTGTACGCACGCTTCGTCGAGATATAATGATGGCGAATAGAAGTCGGTGGCTAGGACGCTCCAGAACACGCAACTCCTCTCGTTCCCGAGCCAGATGCGCTGGCCGCCTCGCCTCGCCACCTTGTACCGAATCTCGCTGGCGACGTCGGCTCACGCTTTGTGTAGCAACGCGGCCAACAACCAAATCGAGCTCTTTACGGGCCTACCGACCGTCACGACGATGCTGTTTGAACCACCTCATGACCAGGTCACTCCTCCCAACACCTCTGTTTAGCAACCTCAGCGGCAACACATTGCATAACGCGTTGATGCGCAATTTTCACGGCGCCTCGATTCTGTACGCTGCGTCCCTCGCACCCCAATTAATAGTCTGGTTAGGGACTTGAGTCACAACGCCCCGCTGATTTCAGTCGTCTTCCTTTCGGGCAGCTCGAACCCGCCGCCGCTCCGAGCCTTGTACCCCACCCCTCGATCCAGAGCCACCGACGCCACCCTTTCTTTCTTGGTAGGCACCTCGAGGGCTGCGACAGCCTTGTCAACATCACCTTGGACGCTGAGTCGTACGCCGCGGTCAAGGACACTGTGTACATCTATGCACCGTCGACGGCATGGCACGCCGAGCCGTGTCTCGGCTCCAAGCTCCTGACCGTGAACACGACGCGTCTCGGCGTCTGTGTCATCGAGAGTATTACCTTATCCTTTCTCTGCGGCGCAACGGACTGACGCTGCGAACGACGTAGATGACTTTGCCTACGGAGCCTTCTTTGGTATTGTGCTTGGTGCGAGCCTCCTCTTGGCGCTTTCAGGCGCGTGGATGCGCATGTCGCATCGGCGCGCCGTGCCCGAAACGAACGACGCGTTCCAAGGCATGACAAACACTTATGACAACGACGACGACCCTGTGCGCGTCTGGAAGTCGACGTCGCTGGCCGATTTGGCCGCCACAATGACGTCGGGCCTGCTGCCGTATCGTCTCAACACGGACGTCGAGATCCTCGACACGATCCTCGGCCGCGGGGCGTACGGCGAAGTCGTGCTTGGTCGCTTTGGTGGCAAACTCGTCGCTGTCAAGCGGCTCCGCGCCGACAACTACACGGTTGCCCACATGGAGATGCTCATCCAAGAGATCGAGCTCATGGCCCGGTACGCACGACGTGGTCCTCGGATCGAACCCGCAAAAAGCATGCCTTTTCTAGCTTTTCGAGCGAATACCTTGTCGCGTTTGTCGGTGCCAGCTGGTGCACATTTGCCGATATGAAGTGCGTCGTCGAGTTTATGGGTCAAGGGGATTTGCAGCAGTACCTCTCCAGCACCAAGGACAGCAACGAGAGATTATTTCCGTGGTCGGCGAAGCTGCAGTGCATGCGTCGCATGCTTCGCGGCCTCGTCTACCTCCATGGCGCCAGCGTACGTTGCGCGCATCAAATTGCACGATTTTGATTTTAAAAATGGCGGAAATAGGTGATTCACCGGGATTTGAAGTCCCGCAACGTGCTTCTCAACGACGCCGGCGAGGCCAAGCTGGGGGACTTTGGCATCGCGCGCGAGGTCTCGGAAGAAAGCATGACGAACGCGGTCGGCACGTACCGCTGGACGGCCCCCGAGGTGCTCAAAGGCAAGCACTACGACGAGAGAGCGGACATTTATTCGTTTGGGATGGTAGACCCTACCCCTATCGCAAATTTTGAGTTTCATTTTGATTGTTGAACGAGTAGATTCTAACCGAGCTCGATACGCATGCGCTGCCGTACGCCGACATGGTCAACGAGCGCGGTCAGGCGCTCGGCAACTTTACCATCATGTACAAGGTATCGTGTCGTGGCAATGCTTGATTGTATCGAAACACACGTCCTGCGGCAGGTGATGCAGGGAACGATCCTCCCGACGCTCTCGCCCACGTGCTCGCCATGGCTGCGAGACCTCGTCTACGAGTGCATTGCACACGACGCCAGCATGCGCCCGTCGGCCGCGGACCTTGACGCTCGCCTCGCCCGCGTCGATCTATCATCGCCCTTTTGATTAAGAAATATTACACGTTGCCTTGAGTCCTCGTATTTTCGCTAAGTGAGAGTGGACTGCTGGAGCTTTTCGAGCAGAGAGAGCATGTCACGCTGCTGCGCGATGATGGCGTCGTAGTTGGCTTGCAGCTCGCGGAGCTCTGAAGCGGATGCCTGCGGTGTCTCCATTTTGATGGCCACGCCATGGCAGTGTGGGCAAAGGGGCCCGCGCAGTGTCTGCGCCATGCGCCGCACGTGGCCCTCGACGCAGCAAACGGTATCGAGCATCGGATTCGACTCGGCCGAGAGCTCGCGAGCGTTTTTCACTTCATGGAGGCGCTCGACGGCGTGCCAGAACCGGTGCTCGAGGTGGTCGACTCGCTTGGTTCCAACGCAGCGCCTCTGCGCGAGCCGCCAGCGCAGCCATGCTTTCAGGACGCTTTGGGCGCGGTGCCGGAGCGCATCTCGCGTCTCCGTGTCTTGCAGGTAGGCTAATAAGACGCGGTCTTTGTCGTCCAAGCCGATGAGCTGCGAGACAGCGACCACCATGAGCGTCTCAAAGAGAAGACCCTGCGTACAAAAGTTCATCATGACACATGGAGACGGCGGAGGAGATCGCACCGAGAAGACCAAGATACCCGCGACAATATGCCCCCGCGACGAGATCGGGTGGAAGCCGGGGCCCTAGCGTAGTCATGCAGAGTGTCCGCGTGGATCGGGGAGCGTCATACGTGGACGGTGAGGAGCGAGTAGGTGAACCATGCGGCGTTCCGGAGTGTAAACACGTCGGGCTGGTACGCGCGTTCGAGTTCGTAGATGCAGGTGGTGAGCGCCGCCCAGATCGCAATTGTGGTGCACGCGACGACCAGAAGTGGTGTCTGGTGAAATGCGATTTGTACGACGAAAAACCAGTTGAAGTGGGGACTCTGGGACGTCAGAAATCGATTCTAGATCTGGATGTGGCAACCGCCATCGATATGAGGTCCGATACCTGCACGATATCCACGCGCCGCTGGTAGACTGTCGCGTGGTCCCGAAACACGCGCGCGACCAGGTACAGCCGTAGAAACATCATGCAGCACGCCGTTTCGTGGATGTAATCATCAAGGAACGGAGGCTATAAGAACACACATTATTGTCCACATAGTGCATCATAGGATGACGGTAGCGCACGGGGTGGATGGCGACGATGGCAGCTTCGAGCGCAAAGCGGCAGGCGAGGTGGCGCGGCCATGGCGGAGGCAGCTGCGGAAAGATGGCCGACCCCGACATGGCGTGCGCTTCCTTGACAAGCAGGCCGTACATCGTATGCAGCTGCTTGATCAAGAGAAGCGTCGATGCAGACAGCACGAGCTTGAGGATGGTGCCTTGGGCCGACGCCGTGAGCTCAATGCGCTTTCTACATGGCGCGTTAGAGCACATTCAATGTCGCCGCTTCCTACGTGGCGCCGTCCTTCGCGGCAGCATCCCATGCGATTTGCATTTCCCAGAGGCCGAGACCGAGGCCCAGCATGGCGTTGGCAAAGATCTACGACAGAGATTCCGACATCGTCCATTATAATGTAGACAATGCAGGATGGAGTACGCGTCGGTTGAGCAGGCGGAAGGTGCCATCCAGCGTCCAGTCACCAATGCGCGACTCGAGGTCGTGCGCCGTGTGCGGGTCGTCCTTCAAGTGCAAGGGCATCGTGGCCATCTCTTTCTTGAGCACTGCGAGCTGCAGCTGCAGTACGAAGCGAGCGACGATCTTCTCCTTGCGGTTCACGCGGCCAAGCCCCAACGACATGCGCCGCATGGGCGCCGCCGCGCGCTCGGCCGACCGCGGGTCCAACGACCGCCGAAGGTCCTTCAGCCGGCCAGCGA